GCGACAACGTACAACAATCTGGGTTTGGTTTACAACATATGGGAGAGTACGAAAAGCAAAAGATTTTATGAACGAGCGATAGAAATTGAAACGAAAACATTTGGACCTGACCATGTTAATATTGCGACAACGTACAACAATCTGGGTTTGGTTTACAAAGATATGGGAGAGTACGAAAAAGCAAAAGATTTTTATGAACGAGCGATAGAAATTCAAACGAAAACATTTGGACCTGACCATGTTAATATTGCGACAACGTACAACAATCTGGGTTTGGTTTACGATAATATGGGAGAGTACGAAAAAGCAAAAGATTTTTATGAACGAGCGATGAAAATTGAAACAAAATCATTTGGACCTGACCATGTTAATATTGCGACAACGTACAACAATCTGGGTTCAGTTTACAATAATATGGGAGAGTACGAAAAAGCAAAAGATTTTTATGAACGAGCGATAGAAATTCAAACAAAAACATTTGGACCTGACCATGTTAATATTGCGACAACGTACAACAATCTGGGTTCAGTTTACGATGATATGGGAGAGTACGAAAAAGCAAAAGATTTTTATGAACGAGCGATAGAAATTGAAACAAAAACATTTGGACCTGACCATGTTAATATTGCGACAACGTACAACAATCTGGGTTTGGTTTACAATAATATGGGAGAGTACGAAAAAGCAAAAGATTTTTATGAACGAGCGATAGAAATTGAAACTAAAACATTTGGACCTGACCATGTTAATATTGCGACAACGTACAACAATCTGGGTTTGGTTTACAAAGATATGGGAGAGTACGAAAAAGCAAAAGATTTTTATGAACGAGCGATAGAAATTCAAACGAAAACATTTGGACCTGACCATGTTAATATTGCGAGAACGTACAACAATCTGGGTTCGGTTTACGATGATATGGGAGAGTACGAAAAAGCAAAAGATTTTTATGAACGAGCGATAGAAATTCAAACGAAAGCATTTGGACCTGACCATGTTAATATTGCGACAACGTACAACAGTCTGGGTTCGGTTTACGATGATATGGGAGAGTACGAAAAGCAAAAGATTTTTATGAACGAGCGATAGAAATTGAAACGAAAACATTTGGACCTGACCATGTTAATATTGCGACAACGTACAACAAGCTGGGTTTGGTTTACGCTAATATGGGAGAGTACGAAAAGCAAAAGATTTTTATGAACGAGCGATAGAAATTGAAACAAAAGCATTTGGACCTGACCATGTTAATATTGCGACAACGTACAACAATCTGGGTTTGGTTTACAAAGATATGGGAGAGTACGAAAAAGCAAAAGATTTTTATGAACGAGCGATAGAAATTCAAACGAAAACATTTGGACCTGACCATGTTAATATTGCGACAACGTACAACAATCTGGGTTCGGTTTACGATGATATGGGAGAGTACAAAAAAGCAAAAGATTTTTATGAACGAGCGATAGAAATTGAAACGAAAGCATTTGGACCTGACCATGTTAATATTGCGACAACGTACAACAATCTGGGTTCAGTTTACGATGATATGGGAGAGTACGAAAAGCAAAAGATTTTTATGAACGAGCGATAGAAATTGAAACGAAAACATTTGGACCTGACCATGTTAATATTGCGACAACGTACAACAATCTGGGTTGGGTTTACGCTAATATGGGAGAGTACGAAAAAGCAAAAGATTTTATGAACGAGCGATAGAAATTGAAACAAAACATTTGGACCTGACCATGTTAATATTGCGACAACGTACAACAATCTGGGTTTGGTTTACAAAGATATGGGAGAGTACGAAAAAGCAAAAGATTTTTATGAACGAGCGATAGAAATTGAAACGAAAGCATTTGGACCTGACCATGTTAATATTGCAACAACGTACAACAATCTGGGTTCAATTTACGATGATATGGGAGAGTACAAAAAAGCAAAAGATTTTTATGAACGAGCGATAGAAATTAAAACGAAAGCATATGGACCTGACCATGTTAATATTGCGACAACGTACAACAATCTGGGTTCAGTTTACGATGATATGGGAGAGTACGAAAAAGCAAAAGATTTTTATGAACGAGCGATAGAAATTGAAACGAAAACATTTGGACCTGACCATGTTTATATTGCGTCAACGTACAACAAGCTGGGTTTGGTTTACGCTAATATGGGAGAGTACGAAAAGCAAAAGATTTTATGAACGAGCGATAGAAATTGAAACAAAACATTTGGACCTGACCATGTTAATATTGCAACAACGTACAACAATCTGGGTTTGGTTTACAAAGATATGGGAGAGTACGAAAAAGCAAAAGATTTTTATGAACGAGCGATAGAAATTCAAACGAAAACATTTGGACCTGACCATGTTAATATTGCAACAACGTACAACAATCTGGGTTCAATTTACGATGATATGGGAGAGTACAAAAAAGCAAAAGATTTTTATGAACGAGCGATAGAAATTGAAACGAAAGCATTTGGACCTGACCATGTTAATATTGCGACAACGTACAACAATCTGGGTTCAGTTTACGATGATATGGGAGAGTACGAAAAAGCAAAAGATTTTTATGAACGAGCGATAGAAATTGAAACGAAAACATTTGGACCTGACCATGTTTATATTGCGTCAACGTACAACAAGCTGGGTTTGGTTTACGCTAATATGGGAGAGTACGAAAAAGCAAAAGATTTTCATGAACGAGCGATAGAAATTGAAACAAAATTATTTGGACGTGACCATGTTAATATTGCAACAACGTACAACAATCTGGGTTTGGTTTACAAAGATATGGGAGAGTACGAAAAAGCAAAAGATTTTTATGAACGAGCGATAGAAATTGAAACGAAAGCATTTGGACCTGACCATGTTAATATTGCAACAACGTACAACAATCTGGGTTCAATTTACGATGATATGGGAGAGTACAAAAAAGCAAAAGATTTTTATGAACGAGCGATAGAAATTGAAACGAAAGCATATGGACCTGACCATGTTAATATTGCGACAACGTACAACAATCTGGGTTTGGTTTACGATGATATGGGAGAGTACAAAAAAGCAAAAGATTTTTATGAACGAGTGATGAAAATTGAAACAAAATCATTTGGACCTGACCATGTCAATAATGCGACAACGTACAACAATCTGGGTTCAGTTTACAATAATATGGGAGAGAACGAAAAAGCAAAAGATTTTTATGAACGAGCGATACAAATTCAAACAAAAACATATGGACCTGACCATGTTAATATTGTGACAACGTACAACAATCTGGGTTCAGTTTACAAAGATATGGGAGAGTACGAAAAAGCGAAAGATTTTATTGAACGAGCGATAGAAATTCAAACGAAAACATTTGGATCTGACCATGTTAATATTGCGTCAATGTACAACAATCTGGGTTCGGTTTACAGTAAAATGGGAGAGTACGAAAAAGCAAAAGTTTTTTATGAAAGAGCGCAAGAAATTGAAACGAAAGCATTTGGACCTGAACATGTACTGTAATAATGTACAACATTTTTCATTTGGTAATGAAGAAACTATAGATATTGAAACTGAAGCATTTTGACTTCTATTTATCTTTTATTTGCTAGAAGCTAAAATACTCCTGTATGTGAGAAAACGTACAAGGAGATAGAAGAAGAGTAAATGAATTTATAGCTCATTTTCAATGAAGAAGAAAACAATTTCTCTTTTCATTTTAGGTTTGTCTTCTTTATATTAAAACTGATTAGAAATATTTGTATTGTAGATTTCTTTTAAAAAAGGTTCAAATAACAACAGTTGTATATTTATAAAAGGTATAAATATATTACCATAATTTCTAATTAGCAGCAATTTTAAAAAACACTTGAGAAAAACGACGATTTTTTTGAGAGCAAACATGTTTCGACATTATCAGAATGCCATCTTCAGTGCAGAATGTTTAGTTTTAAGTAATATGATACGTAATATGATATGAATATGAATAAATTAATTACAATGAATAGAATTAAGTTTAGTGTTAAGTAATATGATACGTAATATGATATGATATGAATAAATTAATTACAATGAATAGGATTATGATTTAGTGACAAAATTATAAAATATTTACAAAAAGGAAAAGAAAAATAAGCATTAAGAACTTATAACAAAAAATATTATTATAAAGTAAATATAGTGTTGTAGTGGTGAACTTGGTATATTTAAATCGGGATTAAAATATCTATCAGGGGGGGGGAACAAATTCATATATGAATGTCTTAATCTGTTGAAAACAATGGATTATTTGAGAACTTGTGTACAAACTATAAAAAGTTTATATTATAATGTCTTTACAACTGATAAGAACAGTAAACAAGTCATTTCTACTGGTGTCTTTACTACTGATATGGACAGTAATGAGTCATTTTCATTGCTATGACATTCATGTCTTGCTTTTGCAATAGTTTATACTTTACATTGCTTTGAAACTGATTCTCCCAGCTACATAAATGATTTTACCACAAAATCACAATACAAAATGTTGTGGTTACCTCTGATCCCAAGAAAGTCAAATATAAATTAAAAATGAGATTTACTACATTTAAATGTAAGCAAAAGAAGAACATTGTCACAACAATTAAGGTGTAAATCCCCAACCGTAAATAGAAATGTTGAATCAAGTAGCCAAACTATTGACCTTCTCTCTACACACAATTCTTTTAAATACAAATTATATTTTACCATTTATCACAGTGAAGAGAAATTTGTATATTTACACAGCAAAGCCAGTGTTTGGGCATTTTAGAAAACTTACTAAGCATTATAAATTTTACATGTAAATAATGTGCATGTTAAGATTTTTCTTATTAAACAACAAAAAGAACCAAACAAACACTCCATTTAAAACTTTGCCTACAAAAATTGAAAATACAACTATTGCTGGTCAGCTAAAGGAGAAAGAAAACATACCCAAAAGCCAGGGCTAACAAAGCATCTTGCTCCTTGAAATGGAGCCACAAATCCATTCCTTTCTGTAAAGACTAAACAATAAAAATCCTTTGCTGACAAGCGTTTTGATAAATCTGGCATTGGTGACCACCTGACAATGTAATTTATCTTTATGTATGTATTAGATAGTGATGTAGCCAAGAAAAATGGGGCTTTTACTCTAATTATGTGTGTCTGGCCCATATTTACTGTTGTCATCTAATATGTAGTGTAGTGAGTAACAAAAAAGTAATTGAACAACAAAATACTTGTTTTCATAGCACTGGTAGACTTGCTATACGCTACGAGTTGTCATGGTGTTATTAAAGGGCTGAATTCTGATATCTTCCTTTGATTCTTATTTTTTTCCGGTAAATTATACACGGATTTAATAAAATATACATTTAAGTTGATTTATCCAAAGGGGAACCCCCACGGTCTGCGGATCTAAGTTCTTCATACGGGGTGTTTCAAAAAAAGTTTATTTTTTGATTTGCTGATGTGTGTAAATTACTTAATCAATAATTGTAGTTTTAAATATTTATAAAAAGAGTTCTACGTTCTAGCTATGGAATGCTATGTTGTTTGTTGCGATTTGGAAGGAAAATGAAAGAATTGCAAGCGCGTTGAAAAATTTTGGTCAAAGTCACATTCTTTCACGTTTGAGCATTTTCCCATCAACATGAAAGGTGCTTCACTTTGATTTTGCTGGTTTGTTGACTGACTATCACATATTTCATGGTGATGTCTCATTTTTCAGCCTTGACAATATTTGAAATTATCTGACATTTACAATTCAGCAAAAATTGATCCTCAAGGATTCATTTTTATCATTTTCGCTCACTATTTTGAACATAAACGACGCAGCATTTAATAAAAGGGATTCAGATTAAGACTGTCTATTTCTGTGCCAAGGTATTTATAAACTTCCTTTATATTGTAATTTCTCATCACCTAACTAAAGGATGGTATCACATTAGCCAAGTCGTTTTAATATATTAGGAATAACAAAAGGCCCAGAATAGAAACCTTTGTGTTTCCTGTGAGACTTTCTTCTTCCTGTGATATTACTCTTTATATTATAAAGCGAATATATAGCATAAGAGAGACGCAAAGGTATAGAAACTGAGGTAGACGCAAAGGTATAGAAACTGAGGTAGACCCAAAGGTGGAGAAAAACATAGACAAAAAGGAAACACAAGTAAAGGTAAAAAGATATACAAAAAGATAAACGAAAGATTGACAAAAAGACGAAGACTAATGGAAACAAAAAGGTAGACACAAAAGTAGACGTAAAGACTAAAGTAAGACAAAAACATTACAATGTGCAAGGATTACCGTTTCACAAAAAGGTACATTACTATTTTTTTCATTTGATTTTAGACATTTGGACCAACAAACTGAAAACAGTTAAACTTGTTTCGGAAGAAAAAGAATGGACGATATTAACCATCGTATCTGGCTAATTTTCAGGCTATCTGACAAACACCCTCAGTTTCATGTCGACGACGGCAAGCACAGAAGCAAGATTGGCCATTTCTTACAACTGTGCATGTCCCACACGGCATGAAATTGAAAATATTGAATGCAGTAAGAAAATTAGAATTTTTATAATTTGTTTTTTTGATAAAGAGAAATTCCATGTTTTTATCCCACAAGATTTTCACATTAAAAAATGTCGAAATTTGGGCGTTTGACAATGGCGTAATTTTATTCATTTGTAAAGAAAATGAAATTGTGTAAAGTTACAATAGCTAATTTAAACACCTGAGATAAACATAACTTTCTCATGAGTTTATTTTGTTGCTGTAAAAATCTTACCATCATAAATAGTTGGTTAAAAGTGACTTGTTTTACGATTAATTGTCGAGACAAGAATCGTGATCTAAGAAAGAAAAATACCCAGGAAAACGTTTTAAAACAGCCAAAGATCAATAAACTGCATTTGACTTGGAGACACTAGAGATTGAAACGTTGCTAAAGAACAAAATCTTTTGATTTCCCATTCATAGCTTGCCATGTAAACGGTCTGGTGGACTCACAATATATATAAGTCTTGTAAAATTACTGTCAAAAACGATGAAAGAAGAAAAGGTACTTACCATCTTAATTATTCTTCAGTTAGAAAGCAGTTCAGACGAAGTAGAATATCAATTCGTAAATAGCTCAGCCTCAAGGGAATGGTGAACAAAAGCCAAATACGTTTTCATCGTGGTCAATAATTAATTTATTTATTTATATAAGTCCCCCATCACGGTGAATTAAAACCACCAACATTTGTTCTATGTTACTCGATCGCATTAACAGAAAAATGTTGACGTCTAAAATAAAGCAAAGAATCAACATGAAGTACGGACTTTGGATAAAAACTATTACACTTTACCTTATCATCAACAATTGGCGCGCTGTTTAAAAGAAACTTAGATTTTAGAGCATCCATATTGACAGTGCTCTCGATTGACTTTTAATCTTTAGATTTATCATTATTATTTCTCTCTTCATCAGAAGAATCACTTTGATAAGACATCAACGATTTGGAAAGAACGTCCATGTTTTTGATAATAGAGTACTACCACAAACAGCCCCATATATTCCCATACATCCAATATCCACACATATCACCGGCATGTGGTGTTGTCTCTCCCCTCCCTAGAGGATATTTTTTCATTTTATCCTTTACGCACCTTTTTATCCGTCCTGCCCGCTGCTCCTGCCTCTGAATATGGTGAATCAAAATAGAATAGAAGTATAGAAGACAGCTGTCCAATTTATCACCTACTTAATTAAGCATTTCCAAATCACGTACAAAAAAAACAGACTAAATGCTAAACTAAAGCAGGTATTTAAACTTTCTACATAATACAATTAATGAATTAATCAGCTGGTGAAATAATTGTTTCAACTTTATATTATGGATTTCACCACAAACAACAAATACAATATTGCAATGTCATATAATATTTAGATGCAAAGATATGACATTAACGTCCCCACTTGACAATATCTAACGTCGAGTAGAAAAACAGTATTGGCTCCAAGTATAAAAGAAATTTTCTATCTGCGAATGTGATCTTCAACTTCATTCCTGGTAAAACCTTTTTGTCTCCAAAATTGAACTGAAGAAATGCACTAATGTTACTCAGGAGAAATTTAATAAATTTGGTCAAGTGGTTCTCACGTCACGTGCTCGTTGTCATTTTGTGGAGATACATCAAGCATTTTAATGACTTTCTTCGGTGTGGGCTTTCTTTCATCATAAGACAAGAAAATGTATGCGATATTCTGGAATTCTGCACTTTCAAACTTCGAAGATCACAGGATCCGATTGCATCCGTTGCAATCACAGGTTAAAATATTGGTTCCAGGGTTAGAAAATTACTTGATCATATAACTAAATGGCATTTTCATATCTTGAAAAGTTTGACGTAAAATATTATTAAATATCATTCTATTTTGACAATGTTTATTAAATCTACTTCATTCAGTAGCTAAATAATTGCAGGCTACCAACATGTATGAATTGCGTGCCAATTTTTTGAAATATATGCCATTGTATTTAATAAACGCAGTGTTTTGGGAGATGTACCCTAAAGCCAAGAAATGGAAAAAAACGTGAATATTCATGATAACTACGATAAATAATGTTATGAAAAATGGCTTCACTTGGCCACAAATGTGGACACTGTTTTTTTTCCAAACCAAAACGAAATGGGAGGGAAAACCAACGGATCGGTAAAAAACCCTCCAATAAAAGAAAAAATAAAAAATTTAGAAGAATTATCTCCAATTTTTGTAGTGTTTTATGATGTTTTATATTTTTGTTGTTTTCAATGATCCCGATGATCTACTTTAACATGCAGCGTAGTCAGATTGTGCGTCTTATACAGTCGTATAAAAAATTTAAATTTACGGAGCAATAAAAATGTGGGCTGACTACCCTATTGACACAGCAAATATTTTTTGTTCGTACAAATATTTCTTGTTCGTACAAAAGAAACGCAAACTTTTTAGAGCACAAAAAATGAAATAGTGCAGAGTGTTAACAAAAATTGTAATCAATAGACGAAAAACGAAAACTAATAGCAGCCATACATAAATCATGTATAAAAATTATTCAGTACGTAGGGACCTGACCATTCACCTGCGAAAACATTTAAAAATGAAAAGACTAAGAGACGTTATGACTTGCATAAAAATAATTTTGGATGTCTGCTTGACTTTGTTCCATTGAAATTTTCTATGTTGCCTCATTAATTAATAGCTGGCTTTCACTCGTGTGTTTTGTTTGAAAATTTAACAATTGTGAACATTTAGTTGTACGGAAATATTTAACGGTCGAATTTGAAAATGCGTTATACTGATAGACATTATGGATAAATAAATTAGCAAGTGTGAATCTTATAATAAAGACGCTTGTTTCTTGGTGTTTCTGCCCGACTTCATCGTTCATTCATTGTCCAGTTAGAAGGCCTACAGACATAGCTACCCTATAAAAACACGTTATAAATGTCAGCATAATGAATGATCAAAAACAGAAGTTTCAAAAACAGTGAAAACAACAAAACTTTCATACCTGATTTCCATGGGTTGTCCTGGTCAGTCTGATCCAGGCGACTTGGTCGGTCTCTTCTTTTTTTTCACCGCGTAGTTTTTACGTTTTATCGTTGAAATTAATTGTAAAATTTTTATCTTAGTAATTCAATGAAACCTACTTGCATCATTGCAATTTTCTCAATAAACGTTAAATAAAATTACTAAAAAGTAGCGAGTGAAAGCCAGCTATTTTCTCACAGCAAGTGACATCTTTTATTGACACTTTTTTAAGTTGGATGTTTTCAATGATTAAGTTAAATTATGTAGATAGACCATCATGATCCTTTTTAACTATCTCATGCAGTTACTCATACAAGTTAATTTTAACACTTATATCTACTCAACTTACAAACCACAAGATATAGATCGTGTTTTTCCACTCACTTCTCTCCATCTTCGTAAAATGTAGTCCAATTTTATAGTGCAATCACTTCAATGTAAATGTTCATACGTACATATGCCGTTATGCGATGTCCATTCAACATGTCCATACCAATCCATACACAAAGTAAGGAGCATCATCAACCACTAAGGAAGCTACTGATATGATGGATCGCCATTTCGATAGACAACAATTCACAATGCACTGTTATGGTAACTTCAAGCTAAGGAAAAGGGACCGCCCTTCAATACCCTAGTTTTATCATTACTCAAAGAATGCTCAGTGCAGAGTTGATCTTCTGTGAATATCAGTTGACTGCCTTTAGGTGGGTTCATATAACAATGGGGCCCATCATCATTATATGAAC